TCTTAAAATACAGTAGAGGATCCAAATTTTATGATATATTTGTTAGTTAAGATGAAGTAAAAATTTAATAACAAATGTTATATCTAATTTTTTAGATGATAAATTTGTGATAGTAAAGATAATTTCATGTGGCACTAAGCCAGATAAGGTTGAAAAGACTGATGATAGGTCTACTGTGTTGTGTGTAGTCATACAATACAGTTGTCTAATTTGGCAATTTAGTTTGGTTATTATTTCTGAAGTAGTGTCAAGTATATTTGTATTTATAGTATATTGTAAAGAACTGTTAATAAGGTTGTATAGCAGCTGATCAGATGGACATGTTATCCAATGAAGATAAAAACTAGTTTCATAACATTGATGGCAAGTTGGTAGGTATGAGTGATATTGTTTGTGAAAAATATGTGGAATAGAAAGGTCATCGAATAAAATTTTAATTCTAAAAGATTTAAGAACAGAAGATTAAAAGCTATATAAAAAGTTTGAGAATTTTTGGTTATTGTTAATATATAACCAAGTGGCTTGCCAATTAATTTGATTAAAGATTTTATTTCATTTTTGAAATTAGTTTTGTGTAATTCATAGTGTGTAAATATGTGCATGACAAATTGTATAAATGCTATGATAAGTAGGTAGTTCTAAAGAAAAGTTTTCAAGATTTAGAGTATAAGATGAGTTATAGATATTGTAAGACATAAAAGTTAGATATAGTAAGTTGTAATAGTTTCATGCCAGTTGGTCAGTAAAGTTGTTATATGTGTTATCTTGATGTGCAGTGACTTTGTGAAAAATAATTTAAATTTTATATGAATTAACAAAGTTAATTAGTGTGTTCTATAATAAAAAGTATTGTGTATGTGTATAAGATAAGTTTGTAGAAGAGTTTAAAATGCTTTGATATTTAGAAATTACAGATTGAGAGTCTGTATATATGTTTATGATACTATTTCTGGGAGCAATAATGAGAGCAGATAAAATGGCAGTAAGTTTAGCTTTGAATAAACAAAGCCAAAGTTTTGTTTGAGCTTGAAATATATGTAATATAGAGTTATTAGAAATTTTGACCTATCCAATACCTATTGAACATCATGAAGTATCTAAATTAATAATAGAGCCATTAGTATAAAAGTAAAGTTCTGATAGGTTAGCATTATAGTTGGCTATTTGTTGAAGGTTATGTATAAGTGAACAAGATTCAAAAATTACAAAAATTGGTTAAATAAAAATAGTAATATTTGGAAGGTCTGGAATTTGGGTAGGATGCTGAATTGCAATAAAGTATATAAGATCGAGAAAATTAGCATTAAAGTTAAGAGTTTTGTTATGGGTGTTAATTCAACCCAAAAATTAAGTTGTGAGATTGGTAGAAATAACAATTATACATTCATTAACAATTATTTAAGAGTTAAAAGAGTAACTAGGGCATATATAGGATTGTATAGATGGAAGAAAATAAAGTCAAATAAATTGTGATTCAATATTATATTGCTAGTAGGTAATAAGAATGGATCCAAATGCTAAAGGTTGCCTTCTGGCTTTTTTAGCAATAATTTGGTCATCAAGTACAGTAATGAGCCATGGTTTTTTGCATGATAAAAAGTGTCCAGTTGTATAACTATAGTAATTAGTATCAAGTAAATATAAATGTTGATAAAGTATATGATTGTAGAAATGGCTTGTAAGTTGGTCTTCTAAATAAGTAAACCAAAGTGGCTATTTGTCTTTTGAAATCTTGTATATATGAGAAGAAATGTGTTTTCAGTCTAATAAGCATAAATTGTCAAATATATTAAGTTAATCAAAATATAGAATACTATGATGCTTAAGTTGTTTTTTAAAGATTAAGTATTTTGGATGTGAGAAGAGTAGAGATTTTAGTAAGATAGAACCTTGTTGAATGGTATATAAAATGTTGTAAGTTGAATTAGCAGTAAATGTGATGCCAAGATGTTTAAAAAGTTGAATTATTTTGAAATTAGTAGTATGTTTATTTGGTCTATTAATAATAGAATTGTCATGTATTAAGATGCTAGTAGATAACTAAAGATTATTTTGAAGTTGTTGGAGCTAAATGCAAGTACTAGTACCAAGAAGATCAGAAGAGTTAAGTCTTTTGATATAGTTTGTTATATAGTATTGAAGTTGAATATCCTATATGTTTCAAATATTATATAGTTAAGAATGAAGTATTGTGCTAGTAGGAATTGTATGACTAAGTTTGGCCTTGTTTTTGACAAGTCCAATATGGTTGGTAAGGATTTTATTACATATGTTCTGACTAAGAACAATGTTGTGAATATGGTATTTAATTGTAAAGATAATAACTGTATTAATAATATATCATGCATGTGTGTTAGTAATTTTTTTAGTGCTTGCAATTTTAACAAGATGTAATGATTCAGCTATAATAAGCTTAGTTTGTTTTGCTTATTTGTTGTTAAGTGTAAACCAGTATTCTAAAAATTTAAATAGTTCATTTGAAGAGTAAAGATTGAGTAAATGACTGTTGTAAGTAATAGAACTATAGTTAGTTGAAGGATTGTTAGTTGTAAATATTAATTTAATAGAGTTAATTTAAATATTGATCATGTTGTAAAAAGATTCTGTTATTGATAAGATTTGTAAGAGTTCTTACTATGAGAAAGCAATTCATAAAGTGTCATCCATATGGGCAAAAACAAAGTAGTAAGATTCAAGCTTGTTAAATGTTTGGTTTTTAAGATTAGTTGGCCAGGAAACTTTAGTATTGTATCTATTAAAGTTATTGTAAATATATAAAATAAGTGGATCATAATATATTTTTCATAGAAAAAGGGTAATAGTTTTTTCCTGATCAATATCATTAAATATAGGATATGAAGAAGTAAGGCCAAGATTTGTAATGACTTGATTTTGTCAGTTAGTAAGTAGATTAATAATAGTATTAATAATAATAGGAGAAAAAGCAAGATGCTGCAAAGAATATTTAAGAAGATTAAGATTAACTAAATCATAGGCCTTGCACATATTTTAAAACAGAAGCCAGATTGGTTTTTGGTTGCATGATGCATCTTCAGTAAGGTTGTTGAGTATGTGTATAGATATTGAGGTACTGTTGTTTGGTAGAGCAACATAATTGTATAGTAAGAGAATTAAATATTATGAGAATATTGTGCTAATTCTGTTTGTAATAATCTTTGTATAGACTTTATAAGTATGTTCAATTAAGCTTATAGAACAAGTAAGATTAAGATCTTTATCAAATATATCGCATTTAAAAATAGGGTATATTCTGCTGTGTTTTCATTGTTTTGAAGTTTGGCCTAAGTTAAGGAAATGATTAAATAGAGCAGTTATGACTTTAATGCAGACAACACCTGCATGTTTAAGCATTTCATAACTGATATCTGTAAGACTACAGGCTTTCCTATTAGAAGGTTTTGCTATAGTTTAAGACACTTCTTCTTTTGTGATAAAAGTAATAAGAAAGCTATATTATTGATTATTAATGTATGGTTATGATTGGTATTGTGTAGACCAAAAATTGTTAAATAGGTTTTGATTAATTAGTCAATAGGCTGTCCAGTTGAGAAAATAAGATTGTATGTGTTGCTTGATAAGATATGGCTCTGTAACAAGTTGGTTAAGAAGTTTAATATCTGAAAGGTGAATAGGAGATTTGTAATAATTGAAGATGCTGTTTAAAGCTTGTTTGGATGTGTAGAAAATGTTTCACATCTTTTTTCAGTAACTTGTTGGATTTGTTGTCAAAGTAGCAAGGAGTTTTCAAGATGGCATGCATAGTAGAGCTGTTTTCAAATATCTTGAGCATGCTAAGTTCATTGTTTGAGTTCTGGTTGTTGGTTAAAAAATAAAATTTGAAGATCACAATTAGATCTTATATTTATATTTTTAATCTTAGAATTAATTATATTAATATTTAATTGTTATTCAAATCTTTAATAATTTTAATTAAGTATCTAAGTTCTTTAAGTAATAGGTGAAGTATAGTGCTATAAGATGAATACTTGTGATTATAATTGTATTTGCAGAATTTTTTATTAGAAATTGAGTGTATAGCAGTATAAATAATTGAATGTTCAATTTTATGCTAAATAGTTTCTATGCTTTTATTAGTGTTACAATCAAGTAGAGTATTATGTGAGTTAAGTTTTTGAAAAAGCAGATCAGAAAATTCTGTTTATTTTTTTGATAACATGGCATTGTAATTAAAAATTCTATGACTCATGTCAATATAATAGCATGAAAGTTTACTAAATACATTAGTAAAGGACTATGAAAAAAAAAATAGAGTGATTACTTAATGTAGAGTTGTTACTACCATTAAGATTGTAAGAAAGAAAGAACTGTATATTAAATAAATTAGTCCATATATAGTTAATGTGACTTTGACTAGTATTGTTTGACTATGTGTAGTGTTTGTTATCAATATATGCACTAAGGTAATACATGTTAGCTTGATGAAGGTAGTTAGTAAGTTGAAATTTTGATGATAAGCTACAAATATCATTATATATATTGAAATTACCAAGAATAATTGGATGAAGGTTTAGTTAATAAGCTTGTTGAATTCATGAAATAACTGTTTCTTGTATTTTATTACATTAATATGTATCAGTAGAAGAGAGATAAACTGCTATAATGCAGAGTTTAATTTTACTTTTAAAGAAAAGATCCAAAGCTACTGCTTCTTCAGAATATGTTTGACAGTTGTGTATATGTAGTTGAAAGTGATTGTGAATCATAATGATAGCACCTTTAACAGAATTTTTGGAATTTGCCCAAAAGTATATAAACTAATTATTATTACAAAAGTGAAGGTTAGTAGTATTGGTAATTTTTGTTTCAGTAATACAGGCAATATCAATATTATTATAAAGATAGTAATTTTGCCAAGCTTCTTTTTTGGTAATTGTATTAAATCCTCTAACATTATGTGTAGCAATGTTTAAGTGAAGGTCACACAAGTTTTGTATAGATATAGAGGTTTGTGTTAGAAGTGGTAATGATGTTGAAGATGATAATGCAGAAATAGAAATGGATAAAGGTTGTTATAGTGGTATTGAAGTTGTAAGAGACAGTAAGTTTGGTATAAATATTGTTAAATATAAATTTGTTAAGTTAAGAAAATCATCTTCTGTTGTATTAGATTTAGTAAAATGTTTAGATAATTCCAAATAGCTTTAAGTAATAAAATAAAATGATTAGATAAAGGTTTAGATTTAGATGAAATGTAAACATAAGCTTCACTATAATCATTTTTAATAGAAATAGTTAAAGTATAACTACAAGTATTGCTTAGTAAGTAATTAAAACTATAAATATGTCATAAAAAAGAGATAATTGTTTGTGGATATGAGAGTAGTGAAAAATGGTTATAGGCTAGAAATTTATTATAGCATGTATGAAGTTATATAGAGCTAAAGTGTTTATTAGCAATAACAGTATCATCATGGTCAGATAAAACAGTTTTTACTAATTATGTGTAAATGTAATTTATAGCATTATCTTCAAGAACAGGTTTGATATATTGTGTATTATTAATTATTGAAAAATATTTTAAAGGAATAGGTATTGATGAATAGAATTCATAACCAGATCGATGTAGGATGAAGTGGTCAGATTAAAGTATGGCGCCACAATTAGCCAATTATTACAATTATATTTACTACATACATTTTTACACAGAGTTTTTTAAAATCATAATTGTAATAATATTTATTATATGTAATAATAATATTATTACATATAATAATATTATTATATGTAATATTATTTATTTTCATATAAGAATATTATTATATATGTTGATACTTAACTTAAGTAACGGTTAATAGAGGACTTATACAAAAAGTTTGCTTTAGCCAATTTTGTAGATTTAGTTATAATATCATATTTCACTACTTTGTTCACAATAGTAGCTTAGCGAATATAGTTGCTTTATTCATTTTTTTAACTATATTTGTTTTAGCATCTTTTGCACATAAATGTAAACCTGTATGATTATAGTCCTGTAAAAAGTATAAAAGCAAAAATCTTTCACTCTGGAAATAAGGCAGAACTCAGTTGAGTAATACTTTGAAATCATAACAGTAGAAGTACTTTAGTAGTTTTTCACTTATCTTATTCTATTGTTTCTAATAAATCGTCCAATTAACCTTGTTACTATCCCAATATTATAAAATAAAACCATGACTTCATTGTAGAGCTTAACCTTTGAAATTAGAGTAAAAGTGTTGGCTTTAGGTTTTTTAAAATCAATATTAGCAAAAGCTAAATCCATACTCTCTTGACCTTGTGATTTTCTAATCTTGATTTCTCGTAAAAAAGAGAAAGAGAGAGAGTTACTTAGTCAACTAAAGTCCCTTTTATATAAAACAATATACTGATTAAACTCTGATTCATGTCATTGTTACCTCTAAAATGAACATCAATCGATTTTACAAATTCCATAACCTACGTGATGATCGTTAAAAATCTTAATGATCGAATCAAAAACTAAAGCCCTGATACACCTAAGAATAAGAGAAAGAATCACTTTTAGCCTCTATTAAAGTCTAAAAACAACTGGTTAAAGGATAATTTGAGACTATACTTATCTTAAACCCTATTGTCATTGTAGCAAGATCCAAAAAGCTTTAAGACTCAGACCAAGTCTTTTTAAACCTCTTTCTGCCTGTCAATTCAAAGTCTCTAGGGTCTTGGAATCTTGATTAGTTGTTGGAATGAATAGAATTAGCTAACTTTAGTTTCAAACAATTAAGTCACACTTTTTCAATGTACAGTATTTATCAGTTATACAGCAATATCCAGTATAATTATTACGGATATATATATATGTGATAATAAATACTATATAAGACAAAAATTATTACATATAGTAAAATTATTACTTGTAATAATTGTAATAATAAATACTACCTGTAATAATTATTTTATATAGTAAAATATTATTATATGTAATAATATTTACTATATGTAATAAATATTATTACAATTACTACTTATTGTAATAAATAATTTTTACATTATTACATCTTGCAGTTTGAATTATAGTACCAATCATTAGATGAATAGTCTGATGAGATCTTGTCTTCTTAGACATTGTAGTCTTAAATACCTTTTACTTTACTAAGAGCTACTGCACTATCTTTAATCTCAGGCTTATCTTCTTAGCAATTAATCTTTGGGTTGTGAACAATTCGCATTAAATAGCCACCTAAGCACACAATGATTATAAGCTAAGCATACAATAATTGTAAGCTAAGCACACAATGATTGTGAACTAAGTGCACAATGATTGTTCTAAATATTTACCATAATGGTTACTCTTTATCTAATAAGTAGCTGTGACATTGTTGCGCTAAACCAGGAACGGATGACAACTCTAATACGAAATAGTTATATAAGTTATAATTTTGAATTTAGATAAATAAATATCAGGTATAAAACTATATACAGTACATCTATATTGATATGAGACACTATAATTTAAACCAAAAAAAATTTCATAAAATTTTTTAGATGTACATATATAGTAAAGAGTATAAAATACCTCTTTAAAAAAACATATTAATTCACTATAATTTTCTAATGCTAACCTTAATAATACATAATGCCAGAACAGATATTAAAAATAGGGGTATTTCATACCCTATACCATATAGATCTGTTGATAATAATCTATAAACTAACACAAGTTGAATCAATGAATATCAGGTGCATGCCAGGAAATAGTTTTCTGATGTGTACCTGATATCAGTAACATAATAGCACAATATTGGGATACCCAGATTATTACTCTCAGCACTTTGGGTCAAAAGTAAGATGGGATATCCCAATATTTTGCTGTTAGCTGTTAATATCAATCTAACATCTGATTTTTACCAATATGTTACATATCAGAAAATTTGTCTTCTGGTATGCACCCAATATTCATTAATCCAGACTTTGTAATGTAGATAAGAATCTAAATAAGATGTGAACAGCTCATATTAAATACTTAGACCAATGAATAATCACTAAACTTAGACTAAGAGTGCTTAATGTGATTAGATAACTATTGAGAATCATTCATAAGTACTATGATTAATTGAAGCAATCCCTATTGAATTTATACTGAAGTCTATGACAAAAAAGATGACTTCAAACTTTTTTTTTTATCTTAATAATATTAGTTAAACTACTTTCCACCAATTAAAATTGAGTTCTAACCTATTACTAGAATTTATTTATTTTTTTTTTTGGTATTAAGGTGACCTCTTTGGTCTTTTGACTTTTATTAATCACTTGTCAGTATTGTGGTTCA